GAAAAGCAAAAATAAAAGTAATAAAAAAGCTGTGCTGTGCTTTCACGTATTGAGAGGAACCGGAAAACTGTCCCTAAGCAGCCAAGTTCCTTGTGGCCTCCTTCAGATCTTCATTTTTGCTTCTATATGATGCAATCTTTTTTTCTTTTTTTTTTTTTTTGGTAGTTAAAATGCTTTGGGAATATTTTATGCATCCAAGTGCTTAATAGATAACATAATTTCTATTCCTAAGCGCTTACATAAATTGAAATGCTCGTACTGACACTGCTCTCCAAAATGCGACGCTCCTTTGGTTTTTGCTTGGAAACTTCTGGAAGTTTTTTTGTCATTTTAGTTGTGCTGGCAGCGCTGTCAGGTACCTTCATTGATAAACCAAAAGTGTCCTCCTGGAGAAAAGCAGCACATTATTCCATACTGAGAGAAATAATACAATAGATTGGTCTTTTTTTTTTTCTTCTCTGGAGATCTTGGTTTCAAGTTTTAATTAAGAAAGAAGTAAAAATGAGTTTAATGGTCTCCTAGTTCTTACCTGTGCACAGTGACATCACCAGAGTGGAAAATTCAGGAGGAATTAAGAACAGGAGGAACACTGGGAGAACACAGTGGGGAACTTTGTGTATCCCCGTTATTCCTTCACCTAATGAGTGCTGGGCTTCAACACACAAAATTGGTGTGCTGCTCCATGCCCTGTGTTTGAACTTGTTTAGTTTGCTTTGCATTGCTCCTTCAGTCACGCTGCTCCAGCACCCGCACAGGGTGTCCCCACAGAGTGGGCCAGGGAGCGTGCGTTGTCTGCGAAGGAACGACTGGCTGAAAGGTGTCTGAGCGTCAGCTTGCTCTGCTCACGCGCCTCCGTCACCGCGCGGAGTCACCTGCCCGTCACTGCAATCGTGAGACGCTTCTGAGGGAATATTTTACGCTACAATACTATTTCTGTTAAGAAATAAAAAGTAACAATTTGAATAAATGCCAAAATACCTGCGTTAATTGGAAGACCAGAGAATTCAAATTATCCTACCTAATTCTCAGTTTTACTACGCTTTAAAAACAAGGTGGTGTTTTGTTTTCTCTTTGAATAAACCACGCTTTTGAGGAGGTAGGGTTATTTTTCTCCTTTAGCTAGTGAGTTGCAGTCATCATACTGAATACTTATAGTGGCAATAATAAAGAGTATTTTAATTCTGTGACATACTACATTCTTGCCAGAGCTCTGAAGTTCTAATTTCCAATTCAAAACCTCAGCCTTGCCCGTAGTGTAAGCTTGATCTCCCCAGCCTTTTTATTAGTTTTTCTTTTTAAAAGCCTAGTTTAGAAATAATAATTTAGAAATCTGTTTAGAGATACCTAGGTTAGATGTTGATGTTCATTTACTTAATGTTATGGTTTATTTATGTGTTCTATTGAAATTCTTACAGATGGTGCATGACAGCTACCAAAGGTTTTGAGATTATAGCATGGTCCTTCACACCATTCTAATTCCCCCAATTCATTTGGGCCATCCATCTGAAAACCAAATTGGTTTTGATTTCCCCTTGTTAGTCTTACATTTTTCTGTTTGATTCTTCTGTTAGTTCCTTCTAGTGGAAGGTGGAAGATGGTATGCCTGGCTGCCGTCTTCCGTTATAACTGCTGCTGGGTGGCACAAGGCAGTTGCGTCTTCATCTCTTTGGCTTTCTTTGTTGTTTTTTTTTTTAAGAAAAGGGTGATTTCTTAAATACACCTCAAACAATTTCACTTAATAATTTCCTATGTCCAAACCTCATTCAGAAGAGCAATATTTTTGTTTGTCATTTTTTATGTTGATCAGAATATGTGCATTGGCAACTATGTGTCCCATATTGCAGCTTTGTGTCTCTTGCTTTTCCTTCTGCTTATTGTTTCTTCTTCCTGGATTTCCTGGTGAAGTCTGCTCTCTCCACAGAAGTGTGATAAAATAACACTTCTCATTTCCCCAGAGGTTTTGACGCACATTTCATGGAAAGCTTCATTTTAGTCTCATGGAACCAGGGATAAACTAATGGGGAGGAGCTTAAAAAGAACATGTGTATGAAAATACCAGGTAATCGCTGCTCAAAGTACAGTAACAAGAAGAGCTGAATGAACCATAATATCTACAATATAAGATGAGCTTCGTTACGTAAAAGATTGTGAAGCTGAGGTACTAACAATTTAAAGAACACCGGGTGCTGTACTGTAGGACTTGGGCAACTGAGACTGCTGCGCAAGCATTCCCTGAAGCCAGCTGGGACTGGAGATCTTTCCAACCGCTTCAGCAGACGCTGGGTCAGGCCTCGAATGAAAGCACAGTACATGCTAGCTGCTGGTGATAAATGCCTCCTTCTGTACAACAACCGTTTCATTAACATTACACGCTCAGGACGCCACGTACTGAGCTAGTGCCTTCAGTCTGCGCTGAGAGGAGTTTTGTGGACATCCATTTAGTGAAATTTGGTAACAAGTGGATAAACTGTCAGACGAGCTGCGGGTGCTGCATTCAGAGCAATTGAGTTAATTTCTGTCACTGTATTTTTGGTGTGGTGGACCTACTTTTTTCTTTGAGTGGTGTCTGTCCAGTGCCCTTTTTATGTTGTACTACTAGTGATCATGCACAAAAAGCAGTGCAATGTTAAAAGGGCATTGGCCAGCAATACTATCTACGTTACTCATTATTATTATACTCTCAAGTCAAAAGTCACTGTCTGAGACCAGAAGGTGATTTGCAAAACAATTGTAAAATAGGATTGCCACTAATTTATTTCTTTGCACTCACTGCCTTCTAGTTATTTGCCAAGCAGAAACCTTAACTGGTCTTTTAATGACAAATACCATCAACTCCGTGTCTGTGTTTCCTTGGAAATAAGTGTCCTACAAAGAGGAAAGATTGCTGCACAGCATTCCTGTTCCCTACGGTGTGTTCTGGAGAAACGTTACAGGTGTGGAGTTGACTCAGGTTGTTGCTCTGTGTGCATCGGCAATCACCCATCTCACTCCACGCCATCCCCCTTTCTTTGCATTTTGTTGCTAAGAATTTTAGCGCCTTCAAACCCTAAGAGTTCTCAAAGTTTTTCTGTGAAGTTACTGTTTTGTTACAAGGAGACACGTTTTGTTGAGATGTAGGAAAGACACCCCCACTTTGCCGGTGCCCTAACATCCGTGTGGTAACCCCAGTCGTAGTGCGCGACGCTGGGAAACGAGCGTGTGTTTAAGTGCATTTTAAAGTGATTCAGCACTTGCAAATGAGAACAAACTTTGGTGTCCAGCGAATGTTCCCTGTAATGCAGTTTAGGAACATCTGCTTCATAGCAGTTTAGGATCTTTGCTTGCTAGGAGGCAAACCTAAAAAATAAATGCATTTGGAAATGTAGTTTCCAGCTAAAAGAGCACCAAATTGTTTGAAATTGAATGCGTGTGACAGATCTGTTGAGCGTTTGTTGACAATGATTATTATTAATAATGTCTTGAAATATGTGAGCTCTTGTTTGTCTGTATTAGGACTTGGTGAACATTAAACTTTATGCAGTTCTCCGTGATGCACAGAAACCACTATCTGACTCGACCTATTTTTTCCAATACATATTTTGAGTGTATTGATTACTTGTACAGAATTCTTGCTGCTAACGAATGCTCTGACTTTATTGCACTACTGTACTTTACAGCTAGCAGTGCAATAGTATTGTCAAAGCATCTGAAAGCAGAGTACGCAGCAATGGCTTGAGTCTTGCCTCACAGTTTCTAACACTTTCTTCTATGCCAGTGAGTAAATTGCAAATTTACATTTCACAAACTGCATTTTCTGTGTGGTTGTTGTACAATACTCCTCATAGGAATGGTCCTAGCCTATAACCTTAAGGTGAGGTTTTAGCAGGTGTATGTTTCTTGAAAGAATATTCATAAACCAAAGGAAAAATGGATCGTAGTGGAGGAATATATGCCAGTGCTTATAAACACACTTTGAAATTGCTGATAATAATTTTTTTCTTCTTTTAGAGTTAGCAGACTTTCAGGAGAAAGCAGTGATACTGAACTGTGCTACTATTTTCATTAAGCACAAATCGTAAAGTTACAACCACATGATGGATTCAAGTTCAGCTTCACATTAAATTTTTAATGTCTTCAGTGATAGTAGTAGCATGGTATTGATGGCTTACCGTGATGGTGTAAATCTCAAATTATCAATTTTGAATATTTCAGGAGCAGAGCTTCGTGGACATTTTTTAAAGTTACCCATATTCATTGTCTGCTTTCCCAAAAGTTAATAATCAAATGGATGAGTTGGAGAAAAGCAAAAAATGATCTTTTTGGGGTGCCTGCCTCTAGAAATGAAAACCTAGAAATTTTCGCTAGTGGAGGAGAAGAGAAACAATTGAGCAGTTAGGAAGAGTCCCTCATGAACTCTTTAAAAATACGTAGTGTAACCGAAAGTATTTTATTCTCGCATTTTATCATGACTGGTTTCTGGGGTAGATGTGGGAAGGAGTTTTGTTCGGCAGCTAAGTTATGGGAGTAGCGGGTGAAAGCTTTCCCTTTGCTGTATAGATGCTCCAGGTCTTTACCAGATTTATTTTCCTTTTCTTAAGCTATTGCTTGAAAATTTGCGGAAGGAGGGTGTGTGTGTCTATATCTATGTATGGAAGATCATACATTGGAAAGGGGATTGTACTTGCAGAATGTCTGGGATCGAGCACGATTCCTTTAAGCTGTGTGAAGTCCCAGATCCTCGAAGGTACCAATGGCAGTTCCTGAAGGTGGATCCCAGCTCTGGTGTTTAGAACAGGAACGTTCTTTTGGTGTCCAGGCCTGACTACAGGCTGCATCCAAAGACTACTGAGCTGTGTCACTTCCGCTACCATCACAGCGCTGCTGGTTAGTACTTTTGGATACACTTCACAAATAAAGCCTTATTTTGATCTTTGAAGAAGTTGTAATGATTACTTCAGGGTTAATCTCAATATAAATAGTGAAAAGGACAGTGAGTTAAGTAAATTACAAGCATTTTTAACTTGCTTTCATCATAGTCTCTTTTGTGACTGTAAAAGCCCCAAATCATTATGTTAAGAAATTCTTTTTTTTTTTTTTTTTTGAACTGGGAACATTGCTGTTCTTTAAAGCAGAAGTCCTTAACAAATATTAAAATTGCAGACTAAAATTAATTAAGTAATAATGCTATCAGCATTTACAAGGCAATTAGATAATTCTCTGGTGGCTTATTTATCCCAAGGAAAGAAACGTGATGTCATCAATAATATTATCTATTTGTCAGTCTGGTTTACTGGGGAATAATAAAATGTATTATGGGTATTACAACCATCTGAGAGAATGCATTCCTGATATAATGAATAATAAAATCTCTGTTGATGTGCTTGGATCCTGAACACTTATTCATAATCTCTGCTGCGTAAATAATGGAGTATGGCAGTTTTGCTAACTTACCTCTTTGGTGTGCTGCTTGAAAACCTCCTCTCGAGAGGTTTGGCGTTGCGAGGGAGATGGAAGGTAATACAGGAAGAGCTGGAAATATTCTCATGCGTTTTGGGGGGCTGCATGAAAAAGGCACTAATGGTAAGACGCAGAGAACAACTGGGTAATTTGGGGCAGACAAATGGAAAGAGGGTACGACTGACTAACAGAGGAGTGTGTGTGCGCGCACAGGGGTAATTCTGATGCGTGAGAGGAAAATGGCGATGTTAAGTCTGAAAGTTTATTGCTTTATACTTTTCAGTCAAGAAGTGTGTCAACATAATTGGCAAACATTAGCTAATGCAATACATTGGAGGAATAGAAACTTACTTTTATTGTACACAGGCCTGCAAAAGGGAGGCATCTGGCTTCTGCTTTCCTGAAATACGGGAATGGCAAATGGTTGGGGTTTGTCTGCAATTTTTGGTTTTTAATATACTGTGGCTGATCTTCAGTGTTTTAGTTCCAGAAGGCAGAGTCTGATCTGGATTATATTCAACACAGACTGGAGTTTGAAATAATGAAAAGCCTTCCTGATAATCCAGGAGCAGAGGTAGTGTTTTCAGATGACATTAATAGATTTTATTGCATTTTGCCTAAAATTGCTAATAAATCGGTAATTTTCTTTAATCCTAAAAGATACGTGGCTGTTCTCTTATCTAGTTGTTAGTTGATTGTGTTGTTGTTGTTGTTATTATTATTTTAATATCAATTATCTTAATAATATATCAATTATCTTAATCTGGCCTAATATGAATTCAGTGCAGAAACCAACAAAACTTCCTTGATTTCTTGGTATAGTGAAATTCTCCCATGTTTTGCTTTGAGAAGTGAGTAGTTGTGTTAACACCTAAATTTAAGAGACAGATTCCAATCTGAGCTAAAATGCACCCTTGCTCTGAGATCAGAGATAAACTTGCTAATAAGCAATGACTAAGTTCAGATTTGGGGAGAGATGAGAGGAAGAGGAAAACAAAAAAGGGCATCATGTAAAAGTTTTTTTAAATAAGTCCTTGTCTCCATGGAAAATGGAGCGCAAAAATAATCTTTTTAGTTAGAAGTCCCAAATTTATTCCAACTCAGAAAAGCCATTCAAGTTCACCAACACAGTAAATTCATCCTCCTGTATTTGTTGTGGAACCACAGAGTTATGCTGTTTTGTAAACACTATTTTTGCTTATGAAAAATTAAATGTATAGATGAAACAAATGCTCGCAGCTACACTTTTCATTGTAAAGGGTTGTTTCATGTTATGTTTTCATGGCTCTAACACCAACACTTTTAATTGGTATGTAGCCACATTAATTTTCTCTTTTTAAATAGTTTAAATGTACTTTTAATTTCTACATAGGAAAATCCAGTTGCTCTCTTGGAAGAACTCTCAATGGTGAAATATCGTTATAAAACGTTATGTATGCAGCTGGAAAAAGTTTCCATAGAGCAGAGAGAATCCATGAAGGGCATCCGTGCTGCTCTAGAGAACACAATGAAGATCGTTCAGGCATTGCAGCAACATACTGACCTTGAGGTAGTATTTTCATTTTAATCACTTGCATCTCGCTCCTGTAAATGAACGCGTATTTGTGTAACCTTTATGTAGACCTGAGTCGTTGCACTGGAAACAGTTACACGTGCAGACTCTTAGAAGACTCTTACTAGACAGTAAGACCATTTACCAGAAGAAATGTTTGCAAGATTGGAGCTGTGTTTGTAAATCACAAGCCTGGTTCATCACTCACCAGTTAAGCTAGAGGTATTCAGTTTTGGAGTTGAAGTAACACCATAATAGTGTGAATAGTGTGACACACGTTTGAATAGTTTCTTAGAAATTGATGCCTCTGTGCACAGCTGTGTCCCAATTCTATACTGACTTTTTTAAAAGTACTTGTCTTAAAAAGGCAAAAAAGCTTTTAAATGGCAAATGTATTTTCACTGTCTAAAGTAAAGAAGTTAAAACCAACACATTGTAACATATGTGGTGGAATTGCTGTTAGTGCAAAGAAGTAAGTTTTTTTCAATGTGGTGATGCCTATCTACCTGTTAAGCCCAACAGCAAACAACACGTTTTCCTATGTGGTCTTCAGACACTGCTTCATTACAGTTTTGAAGAGGTTGTGAAAGCATTAGTTTTGTCCCTTTGCAAATAAGGTGATTTAGATCAAAAAAGCTAATTGACAGTCTAGTGGCAAAGGCAGAACTGGTGTGACTAAAACACATTCCCAGATCATAGAATCATGGAATCATAGGTTGGAAAAGACCTCTGAGATCATCAAGTCCATCCATCAATCTCAGATCTTAGCTCTCACTTCAGTGTTCTAAGGACAGTGCCCCGAGATTGTGTTTAATCTGTCAACAGCTCTAGACAAGTTACTGGCAAGTCTTACCAGATAAAATGTACTGCATAATGACTTAAAAGACAGTAGGTATATGTCACAGGAAGGAAAAAAATATTTTCTCTCCCTGTGTTCCAAGGATATGCTGCCAAGAATAATTTCATATTTGGATTTTGTTGAAGTGGAAGACTTGTCTCTTCAGTTACATTTAGACTTTTAAGCTAAAGATTTTCTTGCACTTTGTAGATTTCCTAACCCAAAGATGGATTAAACTGTTATGGAGAAATGCCAGCCTTTAAGTGAAATACCTCTTTTTATTGAATAATTTATCTTCTTTCTGTTGAATCATTTATAGTATAGATGGTAAAGCAATATGATGGTTGGATTTTTCAGAGATACTTTGCTTGTAAATTTGCTGTCATTTGAAGGAAAGGAGGAGTCTACTTTTAATTTCCATGAGAAAAGGGCTACACAAACATTGAGTTCTTCTGTAAATATCACCACCCTAGGAACTGAAAGTATCAGAGTTTTCTCCGTGTTTTTTTTTTTCCTAGCGTTTACCTCTGTCAGAAGAAGAACAGACTGCAGCACAGCAGTTAACCTGCCAAACTGTTAAAGAAATGGAATCGCTAGTGGAAGAGGTAATTAGGCCACAGAGTGTCAGTATTCCAGAAGCCATTAATCCTGAGTATAGCCCAGCTGAAGTCAGAAGGACTGTTTTTGTCACTTAATACCTCTCAAATGAATGGAATTTTTCAGAAATGGGACTAAAGTTTCTAACAAACCTTTTAATTTTTCTTGTATACTGATGAAGTTTATGATTTGTTCCAATTAAATTGTCCACGAAGGAGAAATTTGCTTTGACGGAAGACTTTGTTCCCCTTATTTTTTAATTGGGTTATGTTTATTTTCAGAGATGCAGTTGGTTGCTCTTGTCGCTCCTGTTGTTCTGTTAACGCATTAGATAAGAAGCCTTTGGGTAGGAGTGAAAAATGTAATTGATTCAAAACAATGTCTATCAAAATGGAGAGAAATTTAATTTCCTGTAAAAAATAAGTTTTGGAATATGAGTAACAATAAGTATACTCTAACTGTAATGCAGCAGAACATAGATCTAAACTAATACGTGTTAAAAGTCAGATATTCTCCCATAGCTACTCAAAGCACGAACTTTTAATATAATTATCTGCAAAGATTTGGTCTGAGTCTCATATTAAAAGCAAAATATTAAAGGAGGTTAATAGAGTGTAGTTATCTTATTGACCTTATCTTTCTCTACATGTCTTCCCGCTGCCCACCACTCCTCTGTCAAAGGACGCCTCCTTTCTGTCCCTTCATTGCCATGGTTGGTTTGCATGAAAGCTGTCCAGTATGTTGCAGCTTCAGTCACTCTTTGCAAATATCTTCTCCTACCTTGATAAGTGCTCTCAGTTTCTCTCTTTCCGTTACTTAATTCTAAAGCACTTAACATACAGCTGGCATAAACCAGGCCCAATGCAGAATATAGCTATATCCTACAGCTGCTGAGACCAGTTTAATTGGTATCAGTCCCAATGTTGTCATCAAGCGTGTTTCAAAGACGTTCTCTGAAAGGCAGAAAGAATAGAAAGATGTCGCAAAGGCCGTGCGATTTTTTTGTCAGTGCTGTATTTCTGGCTGAGGAGAGTTCAACAGAGCTGCCTTTAGCTTGTCAGAGCTGTCAGCCTCTGAAGGTTGTTTGAGAATAGGAAAGCCATCTTTTTCCTTTGCTGCGTGTGCAGTGCTTTCAGCTAGATCCATAGCGGAATGCGAAGGAGAAAGCTGAAGAGGCTCATCTGACTTGCACATAAATCCTTCTGTATCCATTTTAAACTTATTTGAAACCAGGGTTTGTTTAATGCCTAAGATTTTGCCGTTGACTTCAGTGGCTGCAAGGTCCTTGGTTATCCGATAGTAAAAAGTAATTCCTAATGCAGAAACAAAATTGTAAAAAATCATTTCTGGACAAAATTGCAACAAATCCTGACATTATCTCTTGTTTATTTTTAGCTATTTTGTTCAGGATCTACAGTCCCAGGCTCAAGTGAAGGTAAGTGCTGAAAGAATAATCTTCCCACTGGGTTTTTTTTGTGGTTTGATTTTTTTGTCCCTTGACTGATCTCCCACACATACACCCAGTAAGTAAGCTTTGTGAACAGCATCCATCTCGCCTAAGACTTCATCTCTAGTATTGAACTCTCATAGTTCTGTGCTACTTAAACATACCAAGTTACTATCTAGAATTCAGAGAGCAATGAATTAAGCCGTTTTACTTTCTGAAAAGGCAGATATTGTAAATAACTTCAGCTGACAAGTAAGCGCTGTTCCACCCCAATACAATAGGGTCAAATCTCACAGTAAGGCAGGCAGGCTGAGACCTGGGTACAGTTTCTGAGAAAAAACATAGAGCCTGTGATGCACAGTAAATTCACTGTTTTCACTTTCAAACACTAGTAACGACTGCTTTTATGTGAAGAATGTAGACTTTAATATAAGAAACTGACGCCTTAGCTATATTCCACAGATAGTACCCGTGTCTCTGGGAGTGTTTCTTGGTTTTGATGGGATTGAAGGGGATACTGTTGTGTTTATGGTCTGGAAGAAATGGTGTACTAGTCTTACCATAGAAATAGGTCTTGTTTAATCCATTTATCCCTAGTTAAAGAAAGGAATTTTCCCAGTTCTTAAAAAAAAATAGACCAAATTTATTAATCCTCATCAGATCTCAAATTAAATGATTTTCCCTGGGTCTGCAGATACAGTGAGAGTTTGGAGAGAGTATCTTCCTCCTCTCCTTCCTCCTGCTGGAAAATCTTCTCTTAGACTCACTTAGGGGGTTTCTTAAAAAATAATGACAGTACTTTCTATCTTTGGCCTCATTTCTAAAGAAACAAATATCTTCTATTTCCAATTTTTTTAGAATTGCAATTCAAAGCATTGACTGAGAAAATACTTATGACTGTACCAAGGAGTATCAGAAGTACTCTTAAACTAGCAGACTTGAACAATTTGTACTGGGAGTTATTTAACCACTTTATTGTAAATAAGAACAGGGAAGACTTAAAGCCATTCATTAGTAAGAATTTTATAAGATGTAAAGAAATTCAGCCATTTCAAATTAAACAAAACCAGCTAGTTAACCATTCGCTGCTATATTACAACTGCATAATTTGATCTTACTCCCCTGCAGCCTTCTTAGTTAGGTACAGACCCCAAAGCGTTAGTCATCGTACAAAACCCCCTAAATTAATTTGTCTAAAAATGGCTTGTAGGAGTTAATAATTTTCAAAACTGAATGCCCGGTTCTTCAGAAACAGATTTTTTCACTTTGGTTTCACTGTACGGATGTCCAAAACTGGGTCTGTTCAGGAAGGTTTTGCTGACACAGTCGTACCGCCAAACCCTCTTAGCTCTCGGAATCTGCATCCAGACTGGAAAAGCAAAGCCTGAAACCACAACCCCGGAATGCTGCCCTCCCCACAGCAACCCCTCCAGCCTCCCTGAGCCCTGACCCCTCTCTGGGATGTGTGCTGCGCGTTTCTGGCAGGCTGATGTTAAAAATGGGCAATTCTGTCTCTCTAAGGCTCAATTAGCAAATGTCTGTTCTCAGCTTGAAGTAGCACAGAAAAGTCCATGACAGTCTGAATGAGAATCACAGGGCACTCGCAAAAATCGTTGATGAAACAGTATGTGCTTTTTAGCCTTTTTCTGCCAGACCTGACGCGTGATACCCTGCTTTTGCTGAATAGTTTGCTTTTGTCTTACAGAGCAGCACTGAGTGTTTCGCAGATGAACAAGATAAACATGAAAGCCACTGACTCAAGAGTACGAGTCTTGAAAGAACTTGATATTGTGGAACTCGACAAGCAAGGAAATGTTAAATCAGTTGTGTGAATGTAAGCTCGGTCCGCTCTCATTTGACACACCAGCATCCTGGTCATAGCTCCTGCATTGCTAACGAGCAAGCTGTTCTCTGGTGTCTAGGAGTTGCAAGTCCACTGTTGGCAAGCTGCTAATGTTTCTGTATACAAATTCTATTCATAATACTTCAAATTGGAGGGTTGAAAAACAAGGAGGTTGGCATTTTATGTTGGATTTTTATAGGACTATAGTTGATGCATTATTGAAGGGTGTTGTTGGCCCATGTGACACTTCCATGTTCCTGCTTACATTCCTGAGTGGGTTTTAAAGACAGATAACCCAAGCCACTTAATTGTACTTACATTCCTGAATAAATGATGAAAGCTAAGGAGACGAGGCCATGGATTTATTGTGCTTTTGTTTATGTGGCTCCTGGCCCTGAGCCCTAACCCCTGAACCTCGTCCCCGACCCTTTTAATTTTCCTTTGATGTGAACTGTCTTGGGTTTCTTACAGCCCAGGAGAACTGCAGAGTCACAGAACAGCTGAGGTTGGAAGGGACCCCTGGAGATCGTCCAGTCCAAGCCCCTGCGCAGAGCAGGGCCCACTACAGCGTGTTGCTCAGGGGCGTGTCCCGAAAAACTCCGAGGATGAAGACTTGACAACCTCCGCTGCAGCGTTACACCACCCTCACAGCACAAAAAGAAGAAAGGATTTTTCCTTTTACGTTTATTGGTTTTATGTTTATTTCAGCCTAATTTGAGGGAGTAAGGTATCTGAAGTAAGTTCCTACTGATTTTGTGAAAAATGATGGCTGTCAAGGGAGAGAAATTTAACTCGGTGCCCTTAGGAAGGGCAAGGCTGGTTGCTGCGCTCAGCGGCGAAGCGGTTCGCCTCTGCAGTCTGCTGGGAAGAGGAGCAGGGCGTGAATCGGGGAGGGGAGGGAAGGACAGGGATAACTGGGTCTTATGATGGCTGCTGAGAGTGCCCTTCTACCGAGCAGGCTGCTGGCGCTTCACAAACCCATCTCGTGTTTTAGACTTCATCAGTTTGATCACTTTCAATACAAGACCCGATCCTCACTCCCCTGAACAGTGTTAAATATTTAATCGTGAAATCTGGCTACAATCACGCCAGACACCGGTCCGCGGTGCGAAGGGCGGCACGGCAGGCTGCGCGGGGTGTGCCCTTCGTCAGCGCCGAGGGACAGCTCTTCGCCTCGAACCCCGCAGCCGGGTTCCAGCTCCCCGGAC